GGTCCCGTTCCCGCACCGTGGCCGGGAGTTGGGCTTCTCGACCCCACCTGCAGGAACTCGTGTGCTCACGGATCCACTTGGACACCAGGGGCTGGCATGCTGGGAGGCGGGCACAGGGAGAGCCGGGACCCCGGAGGCTGGGTCCTTGCCTGCCCGGCTTAGGCAGAGGAAATTAGGGCTTTTCTGCTAAGCCCGTGGACAGGAATTTCCGCTGGGCCCTTAAAAGCTTGCCTAGTCCCGGAGTGCATGATTACCCATTTCCCTTGCAGAATGCCAGCCTTTTCCCATTGCCCCCTAGGATCCTGACTGCCCCTTCCTTCACCTCTCGCCTGCATATTTCAGCGTTTGCATCCCATCCCAGAAAACTGGTGGTTAAACAGCCAGTGTGTAGCACAGGAAGAGGTTCCCTTCTCTGGGGACCATTTGCAACTCCGCACCTCTGCTTTTGAAGAGGTTGAGGGCCCAGTAACAACACTTTTCAGCCTAGACCCTTAGCTGAACTTCCTCTTTGGGGGGCCCAATGCTTCCTATGTTTAAGTAGAAATTATTCCTGGAGGAAATAGATATTGTGCTGCTTGCAGAATTAGGTTGCTAGCAGTCATCTGTTGCTAGGGCTCAGATAAGAAATTCCTGCAAGGAACTAAGAACATTCAGCTATTAAAAGATGCCTACCTGGTTCAAACATTGGCCATCTCGAGAGGTTGACTTTAATGTCTAGAGGTAGATCCTCAAAACAGGATCAGAGATAAGACACATCCACCCAGAACATCCTATTTTAATAAAGTCTTGGCCATGGCCCCACTTAGATCAAAAAGTATTTGACACTTTGGGTTCCCAAATTTTAGTAAATTGAGTATGGAGGGCCATTGCTCTTACGGAAACACTGTGATTTATGCCATCACAGCAATAATTAAAGGACAAAATTAAGGGCAAAAATCGCAAGTTGAACAATTTTCAGCTGATTGTGTGCTCAGTGCCACAGTACCTAGTTTGAGTGATATCTTTCCTATTCTTGAGGGATTGGCTTTGACAATTCATGCTGACTTTTCCTCATTTTTTTCTATTTGTGCTTATCAGGCTGTGAGTAAAACAGGGCATGATTTTCAGTTAATGTACTAAATTCAGGAGGGCAGGAAATTTGAATCCACTTCTGGATCTGCCATTTTCCATCTGGCCTTGAATTAATTACTTTACCTCCTTGCTCCAGTTTTCTCATCTGTAAAAAGGGAATGTTACCCACCCTTTTCATCCTAGCCAGGGGTTGGCATACTTTTTCTGTAAAGTCCAGGTAGTACGTATTTTTGGCGTTGCAGGTCATATTGCAAAAGCAGCGGTAGATGATACAGAAATGAGTGGATGTGACTCATTTGGCCCAATGAGTGAATTTGGCCCAAGGGTTATAGGTTTTAATTTTATAAGATACTAAAGGCCTGGTGCACAAAAATTCGTGCACTCTTGCAGTCCGGGAGCCCTCAGGGGGCCTAAGCTGCAGACTGGCCTCCCTCTGCAGGAGACGACTGGTGGACAGATAGGGGGACAGCGCCAACCTGGTGAGCAGCTGGCCCTGTCCCCCCCATCACCGCTCTGCCGCCCCCTGATCACCGTCTCCTCCCTCTGCCCACTGGCGCCCGCTGGCACTCGCCTTGGCTGGCCTGGCACCGCCCGCTCGCCGGTCCCACCCCCTGCCAACCGGTCGTTCCGCCATTGGGTTGTTTTGCATACAGTATTAGGCTCTTATTATATAGGATTATATGCAAAGCTTATTTGAAACCAAAACCTCTGCCTCCAAGGAGATGGAGCAACAACAGTCATTTCAGTAGCATTTTGCAAACAGACATGGTAACTCCCTGTTTTATTTTCCTCTGCCCAGGACTTTTAGAGTAATGCAACAGAAGGCCTTTGAAGAAAGCAGATACCCCTGGCAGGAGTCCTTTGAGAATGTTGCTGTGTGCTTGCCATTCCGCTGCCCGAGGTGCGGAGACCATACCCGATTTAGAAGCTTGTCATCATTAAAGGCCCATCTGGAATTCAGCCACAGCTACCAGGAAAGAACCCTCTTGACGAAATGCAGCCTCTTTCCGTCCCTCGAAGACACAGACCTAGTCACGTCCTCGGAACCCCTGAAACTGGGGAAATTGCAGAGCTGCGGCAACGTGGTGAAGCAGAAACCCAGCTATGTTAACTTGTACAGCATTGCACACGAGCACTGCAAGGACAGGAAGCCATTCGAGGTGGTGGCTGAGAGACCTGTGTCCTACGTGCAGACCTACAGTGCAGTGGATCTATGTGCCGACCCGCTGGATGGGCCGAGGGCCAGTCCCGGACTCCCCACCTCCGACACCAAAGCTGCTTTCGAGGCCCACGTCCGAGAAAAATTCAATCGGATGGTCGAGGCTGTGGACAGGACCATCGAGAAGAGGATCGACAAACTCACCAAAGAGCTGGCCCAGAAGACTGCAGAACTGCTGGAAGTCCGGGCGGCTTTTGTCCAGCTGACTCAGAAAAAGCAGGAAGTTCAGAGACGAGAGCGGGCCCTGAATAGACAGGTGGACGTGGCTGTGGAGATGATCGCGGGGCTGAGGCAACGCCTGACAGAATCGGAGGAGGAGCTTCTCAGGAAAGAAGAGTAAGTGGCGCTGGACCAGGATGCTCACCCCTTTGCTCCAGGCACCCACCCCCAGATGACAAGCCAGTGTTAAGCCAGGTTTGGCGCTTATTACTTGCAGGTGGTACCTTGGCTGCAGTTCTCATTGATGTAGTTGAATGTGGGGGGCACAAGGCTTTTAATATTATTTACCCTCCCTGTGTATGGTCAGCAACCTGTAAGTCAAAATACTAATATTTTTCTCACCTTGGAAACTGTAAAGTACAGATAATGTTTTTAAAGAGGTGTCTGGTTTCTGTGGTGGGTGTCGTTTCCCACGCTCACTGGTGAGCGGGGGAGTTGAATGGGCGGGCAGAAAGGTGGGCTCGGGAGCCTTCCTTCTTGTCAATCTCCATGTAATGAAGTCGAGAACATGAGATGCTGTCTCATTCGAGTGTGAAGTATGCTCTAAATACAAATACTTTTGGCTTCTTTGCCATTTTGGATTTTTCCGCCTACCGTAACTAAATGTTGGTTGATTGCCGAGAATCCATCCAATTACAGTTTTTACTTGGAAGACGCAGACATTAGGAAACCCAGAGGGACCTGCGATATTGCTGTGCTTCTGTGATTTAAGTTGGAGAATTTTCTTTTTGTAAAAGGTTATGTCATACTAGAGTGAGTCACGCATGCCTGCTTGCAAAGAGTTGACACTGGTTTTCACAAGTTATGGGTATTCAGATAAGCTACTACTTTAAAAGTCATCGTACTTAGAAAAGCATTTCCTTGTCAGTGTTATGGATTCAATACAAACTGAAAAAGTATACGTAACAATGCAGTGTATTTCCCTAAAGCAGCATGTTGGATTTAGTTATAAATGGACTCTTGAAATTTATAGAATGAAAGGACATAAAAATTGATAAACTACAGCATGCTGGAAGGGAGGTTTCTAAATTGAGTTCCGTTATAAAGACTGACTTCATTTCATACTTTCTCTGCCCTGTGGCACTCTTCTTTATGTGATGTCCCTTAAATGGAGTAATTAAAGCTTCCTCCATTTGGTAAGAGGCTGAGAAACCCTGAATATTAAAGAGATCGTCCTTCACTGTCGCTAAACGCTTACATGCTACCTAGAGGGAAAGCCTGCTCTGCTCAACTAGACAGTTCCCAAATATGTAGCGAGGGCAGAATTGAATCAGCCACTGATTTACTTTGATCTTAGGGAAATGATATCTAAGGAAAAATTTTTTTCTCTTGGATTCTGGTGTTTCCTGATGGGAAGTTAGTGCCTTGACCCATTATGGCCACCCGGGTGACTAACATTACACAACTGGAAAAATAGCAGATGGGGTTCCCCTGTGTGCCGATAAAAGCTTAGAATTAAATTTTGTGATATTTCTGTTTGATTTAAGAACAGTACATTTAAAAGGTAAGCAAATTAATTGTTTGCATTTATTTATTTGTTGTATTTTATTTATTAAATCTCTAAGGAATAATGGATGTGGGATTTGGGGTGGTGGAAGACAGTTTGATGGTAGGGAGGATCATCTGGTTAAATCTAGGTTATGGTCAAGGATCTAACTTTTATTTTGGTGGTGGCTTCAAGGAAGCTTTATTATTAAATAGAACTGGTTATCTAGCTTTAGTAAAAGTGGGCCATGCATGGATCAATAATGATAATGTGTTATGGTTAATCCAATGCTGTCACCTGAAGACCAACTGAAAAACTAACACATACTTGTAGGAAAATTAACATGTAGAACTGTATGTGTTAAAAGTCCTCCCTCCTCTCCAAGCATACATACCCCATAACCATATGGACTTTAAACATAGAGCTACTGTGTTTTTCCAAATGGAATCATGACACGAATTATCCTGCCACTTGTGTGTGGAGTTTTTTTTTGTTTTAACATAGTATATTGTAGGCATCTTTTATGCACTAAATAAAATTATGTCATTCATCTTGATTACTGGGTGGTATTCCATGGTATGGATGCATCATGGCTGATTTAATCAGTCTGCTGTTGATGAATGCATGGTTTTGTTCCTTTTTTTTTTAGTATTAAAAATAGTGCCTTTGTTAACGTCCTTGGTCCTTGTACATATATCTTTGTTCACATTTTTGTGAATATATCTGAGGGTAAAGTATGACATTTTTTTGGACTACCAGAAGAAAAAAAAAAAGCAATGTGATCAAAGTAACCACTTTAAATGAAAATACAATGAAACTGCCTTAAACTTTTAAACATAAAATAACAAAGTCTTGATTTTCTTCAGCCTTCATTTGGCCTGTTCTATCAGTCTCTGTATTCAAGCCTCAAATAATCATTCTTTCTGCACATAAAATAGGACTGAACGAGTCTTGTTTCCAGGAAGGACAGTGGAGCCCTTGGTTTGAGAGATCGACTATGGCCTTTGCCCTCAGTGTCCACAGTGTCCAGCCCCCCTGCCACTACCACCCCCCAACCCTCTGAGATGGGGATGCAGCACAAGCCAGCTGCCCATCGGCCACACCATTGAAACCAGGTTGATTTGACTAGATCTGCCTGGCTGGGCTGGGCCATGCCCCTTCCCTCCTTACCACTTCCTCACAGAGCTGAGCCTTCCACCAAAGAGGTGACCTTTCAGATATGGGAAGCTGCTTGGCCAGGGAACCTACCAGGAACTGTGCTCCCCTGCAGAACCCCTCCAGATGAGCTCCCCCGGCCCATTTGTGGGAGAAGGTAGGGTTGTTACAGTACCACTCAAAATGGACTTTCACTCCAGGGACCCTTTGAGACCCAGGTAGTAGATTTTTTTTAAAGCAAACATCTAGTATTTAATATTCACTTGAGTTTCTCTTGCCTATCGATTTCCCCTCAACTTTAAAATTCTTTCTTTCAAACTGAAATAAAGGACTCTGAGGGTCGATTTTGCCCTGAGACCATCTTTAGCTGGAATGACCTCAGATTGTAGAATATATATATATATATATGCTTTGCAACAGAGAAGATTGTTTGAATTGGCAATATTTTGTACTTCTGTGCCGGTGAGTCTCATTGTACCTTTGTAGAGAGGTATCTCCATGTTTCTGGAGAGCAAATCCAAAAAAGACATTTCTCATTGTCTTCACAAAGTCTGTGCAATTTTAAAAGTCCTTTGGAAACAGGTATTTACTTATTCAAGAGTATTCAGGGCTGTAGGGTAGCGCTGTCCGTAATCAGGTAAATCAATCCTGGCCAACCTTGCAGGAAGGTATCCTTTAACAAGAAATGGATGGCTGTGGGTAGTAGCTGATTCCTGGCCCAGCTGGTCACCTGGGGCTTGGAGAACATCAGTGTAATAACATTAATCCTTCTTCTGCTGGGAAGGTTGGAAAGTCCCACCTGACCACCTGGGATGTGCCTAGCACTCTGCTAGGTGTGTGTAGGGAACATAAACTTCTTGGTATTTTTTCCCTAAGGAACTCACACTCTACATAGGAAGAATCCATATATCCATGAACATGCCCATGTTCACACCCAGGGCATTGAACAAGTACTTAAATACAAGTATTGGTTTCAAGTTGATAAAGAAATTAGAGGACAGATTTTTCTATTTAAGAGTCCACACTGAAGGAGTGAGGACAAAGGGCAGAATTTGCATTGGTAACCAGAGGACAGTGACATTGGAGAACAGCAGGGAGGTTAGAAATGACCCCTGAGGGGACTGTGTAACTTTAGTACTGGAAGGTACCCCAGTCTCCTTCAGGATAACACCCTCATTTTACAGACAGGGAAAGTAAGGCCCAGAGAAGTGTTGTGACTCATCCAAGGACAAAAACTTAGTATCAAAGCTGAAACTGGAACCCAAACTCCCTGTCTCTCTGCTGAGTGCTTTTTCTGTTAATTCACTGTGTCTCAGCCAGACTTTTGAAACTGTGGTATTTGCCCAAAGCGTCAAGACTTAAGTAATACTGAATCGGGCCCATTTTGGAATGGATTTGCTCCTTTTCTATTTTGAGAGGGCTGCCAGATGACGTCATTTATTTTTCTGATGTGATTAAAGCAAATGTCAGCTGGCATCAGAGGTGTTGGGAAATTGGGAAATGGTCGTGTCATTAAGTCTGCTTATGGTATTAAGCTTCTGGAACACCAGCCCAGGGCTTTTAACTTCCAACAAGGGCTCTTAACTTGACGCTCTGCACGTCCATGCCCAGCCAGGGAGGAGCGTGCCACCAGCCTTTGATTGCGGTGAGGGGTCTCTTTGTAATTCCATCTCTTAATTTCCATCCTGATCCCTTGTGAGCTAGAATATAATCTTTTCCCTTCTCCCTACCTCATTTCCCCTGTTTCCCAGACTGGAGTTAACGCAAGACAAATCTTTATTGAGTGTGTGCTGAGTGCCAGGTGCTGTTCTAGGATCTGGTAAGGCAAGTGATAAAGCAAATGAGTCCGGTCCTGCTTTCATGGCAGGGACAGGCCAGAAGGTGAAATAGACAGTAAAAAGGTCATCAGGGGTATGATAAAAGAGACGGATAGGGGTAGCCTGACCCAGGTAACGTCCATTTGAATTTCTATCCAAAGCTGGCTAGGGAGCACTGGCCTTTAAAAGGCAAGTTTGATTTGGAAACTTGCTTTGCACAACTAAACCCTCTTGCCACTTAATTATGTCTTTCCCATTTTTGATGAGCCAAAGCAGTGAGTAAGCAACTTGTCTCCAGAGCTAGGAAGCAGGCCAAGGAAAATCATGTCAGATGTAGAGTTCAGTTGGACAGGGAGGGGTCGGCTCGTTCCACATTTTAATGCGTTTATGTAAATGGGGGGTCCTCTTTTCCAGGCTCTGTTCCACGCAGACTTATAAACGATTGTACGAAAAACCAGTGTCAAACATGCCCTCAGCACGTGCCATCAGCCCTTGATTGCAGTGAGGGATGTCACATGGTAAAATTTGGAGACCCAACAAATTTGTCTATTTTTCTTTCTCTCTCTTTCACACTTTCCCTCCTCTCCCCCAGCCCTACCCGATAGATTTTTGGCCTGAGGGACTTAGACTGTAAGTGTTGATCTACTTAGAACCAATAA